TTGTCTGGGATAAAAATTCAAAAATTACTAAGTAATGAACACTTTCTATGAGTTACATTTCATATTCATGATATGTACTATTGCTTACAAGTTTTGTCGCAGATGAACGTCATCGATACAAAGTGTACTCATCTGCTCTCTCATTCTTAGATTCTTAAAAAAAGAAAATGCTTGTACTTGTACTTCTCAGTAATAATTCAATATAGCTGAGGTGAGAAAATATTTTATTTCTGCAAAATTCTTCACTACGAATTTCAGTCAAGGTGTAGCATAGATATTAGCAAGATAATTGTGGACTACTTTCAGAATGCATAATTTTCCTTACTCTGTTCTCGATAGTCATAAGCACACTCACAATGACGCTATACATTGAATCTCTACGAACTGCATATGAATCTTGCGAAATATGAACTGTTTCAGTTTTATTGCAAAGAATACATCTGATGCCTAACTAATTGGGACTTTTTTTCAAATGTTACTTGTAAAGAGATAGACTTGCGAGTATGAGCGCAAAACAACTGACCTAATCAGAGTGCTGCACATCATTTGAGAAACGCTTGGGAGAAAGTAACGATGTTTACGCGAAAGAAATTTGAAGTCCTCTTGAAAGAGACTTATTCTTTACCTGAATCTCAATAATGTTTGCAGGATTGACTCAAACTATCTGTCCCTAGCTGCGTACGTTATTTCTTTTAAACTCATCAATTATGATCGCCAAGATTATTTTGTGTTGCTTTCTATGAACTAATAGGTAACACTTCACTTTCCTCTTCTGCTTCATTTTTAGAAACCTTCTGTAACGATTATCCAAATTAAGGCAAAAAAATACATCTAATTAATTGATTCAGATTATCCTAAATGGTTAATCTGACAAGAATGTTACATACAGTCGAAACCCATAATAATCCAAAAAACGTATTTGGAGTACAATAGAACAACAATTCTCATAAGCTCATTGTTAGAAGAGTCAAACTCTTAAATTCCTGAAATAATACTTCTGAAGGAGACCATATCTGAGATGCAGATTAGTATACTCAGAGGCGCAACTGTTTATTTAATTAACTTGGGAACTTTCACACACTGTTAACAATGTCTCAGCTATTTGGGGTTGTTGCCTCTATTTGGTTATGGGATGCAGGCATAAGCATAGAAATGTAAAATTTTTACCAAACATCCAGTAAACCCGAGGAACCGGAGACCATACCTGCTATTACTCTCCATGTGAAAATCAAACAGAAAACAAAGTTCTAGTCTTCTAATGATTTTATTGCTCCACCCTAGCTTGATCATTGCTTCAGGGTTTTCAAAGTTGCTTAATCGAATAATCGCGTAATCCCAGTGATTGAAAGTAATAAGAAGCTATGTTGGTTTGCTCGTTTGCCAAGAACTCGCTAACCACTTTGATTCAAAATGTTACAAGGTGTTTACGACTGAAAGGTAAGTTTGCAATTTTCTTCGAATGCGGTTTCCGTTAAGCAATACTTGGATAATATTATCTTTCAATCTGTTGTTGCGAAGCACTTCTAAACCTTCCTACTGAGAAGAACTCACTCTATTCCTTCAAAATGTTTATGAAGCTTGAAAATGTTGAAGTTTACTTTGTGAAGGAACTTAACTATTGCAAATAGGTGCCTACTTTCAAATGGACATCGATGAAACGCGGAAGTTCAGCATTTGAAATTCGGGTCTATGGAGAACCATCTCAAAAAAGGGCATGTGGGAGCTCATTGGGCAAGAGATAGTGTTGCACAACGTTTATCCAAGATATATGACAGAAATAGTAATTATGGAAATCTTTTACTCTAAGGATGAAAACACATATATAGAGATTTGATGATTAGCTGAATTATCCGGTATCACTTGGGTTCGAAAAACATGATTAGATCGTTAACTTTCAAAGCTTCAGCTGTCGTCATACGATGATAAATAACAATACAGGATGTTTTACCAGGAAATGATAATCTTCCCATTGTTATGCTGCATACATGGATATTGGCTCCTGTTGGTATGCTGCTTGTCGTTTCATGATTGTTTTCTCATTAACGATTTCAATCGTCGAAGTCATATATGATTAGCCATGTCACAGACGTCACCATATACGATAACATGACTATCATCCAGCTTTGGAAAAATGAATTTATTTATTGTTTTTTTTCCTACAGACTATACCATTGTAAGAGCGGAGATGGCAAAGAGATGAATTCGAATTTTCCGAAGTCTTAATGTAATTCACTCCACAATCGAAAGTGGTGTTGTGACAGTGACATGATTTTGACAGTGCTAGTGCTACAAGAGCAATTAATAGCATGAAGCCTACAAATTGAATGTATCTAAGAAACATTGAACTCAAAATATTTTTGCATCCATATTTTCTTTGCATGATGGAATAACATGGCTCTTTAGCCATGGGTATGGTAAAACGAAGATGATGAAGAAAATATCTTTATAATTCTATTCTTGGACTCCTGCAATGGTAGACAAGGATTGTACGAATTTTCGCGACTCACTCTTGGCAGAATCACGAATTCAAACATTCTTCACTTTCCTATACAAGAAAATAAAGCTATGAGTTGGCCAAAGCATTCTAAAAGATAGCTCAATTCGCTATGGTTCACAAATGATGAAACGTTGTATCATATTAACTCCCATGAGTGCACATTGTGCAAAGCTGAGTTGACAAAAACATGCTCTGATGTGTGCAGGCGACAAGCAGATTCTAGCAATTAGGAGGGATGTTAATCCTTTGACTCAGCTATCATTTTATATAGGCATATTTCAAAGCTTTTTCTGGAATAATTAACTTCCTGTATTTTCAAAGTACTGTAGTACAATAAAATCGAAATCCGCTAGTTAACAACGTATTTATGTAATGTTCCTTAAGATTTTTGTGGCTTTCAATGATTTAAATTTAGTGAATTTTAGAAGTTTAGATTTTTGATACGCAAAGAACAGTACATTTTTGTTTGCAATCCGCTTGTATGATACAGAGATTGGCAAACTTCTTATTGAGTTTCTAGTAGATGGCTACGTAAATTGTTTCGTTACAGCTATGTATAGCAAGCCAGCGCAGGACACATACATAG